AAACAAGTATTATGTTCTCATATAAAAAAAACAGTATTATGTTGTCATATCCAAACCAGTATTATGTTGTCATATCCAAACCAGTATTATGTTGTCATAGCCAAACAAGTATCATGTTGTCATAGCTGAAACAAGTATTATGTTCTCATATAAAAACTAGTATCATGTTGTCATAGCCAAACCAGTATTATGTTGTCATATCCAAACCAGTATTATGTTGTCATAGCCAAACCAGTATTATGTTGTCATAGTCAAACAAGTATCATGTTGTCATAGCTGAAACAAGTATTATGTTCTCATATAAAAACTAGTATCATGTTGTCATAGCCAAACCAGTATTATGTTCTCATATAAAAACTAGTATCATGTTGTCATATCCAAACCAGTATTATGTTGTCATAGCCAAACAAGTATCATGTTGTCATAGCTGAAACAAGTATTATGTTCTCATATAAAAACTAGTATCATGTTGTCATATCCAAACCAGTATTATGTTGTCATATCCAAACCAGTATTATGTTGTCATATCCAAACCAGTATTATGTTCTCATATAAAAACTAGTATCATGTTGTCATATCCAAACCAGTATTATGTTGTCATAGCCAAACAAGTATCATGTTGTCATAGCTGAAACAAGTATTATGTTCTCATATAAAAACTAGTATCATGTTGTCATATCCAAACCAGTATTATGTTGTCATATCCAAACCAGTATTATGTTGTCATAGCCAAACCAGTATTATGTTGTCATAGCCAAACAAGTATCATGTTGTCATAGCTGAAACAAGTATTATGTTCTCATATAAAAACTAGTATCATGTTGTCATAGCCAAACAAGTATCATGTTGTCATATCCAAACCAGTATTATGTTCTCATATAAAAACCAGTATTATGTTGTCATAGCCAAACAAGTATCATGTTGTCATAGCTGAAACAAGTATCATGTTCTCATATAAAAACTAGTATCATGTTGTCATAGCCAAACCAGTATTATGTTCTCATATAAAAACTAGTATGATGTTGTCATTTCCAA